TAATTATTGGGCTGCCTGACAGTAATTGGTATAATATTATTAACACAGAGCCTGCTCAGGTCGCACTGAGTTCCTCAAATGACATGTACCTTAAAACAAAAGTGCGAAATACCAAAAATCATGACAAAAATTTAGAAAAAGGTAAGAAACGAAGAAACACAGAGATATTAAACTTAATGCAAGATCATGAAAGTACATAATGTATGATTATGGAGATGCAATTAGACACAGTGACGAAAAATGCCGACTTTTATTTTGTATTTTTGCCATCACATCTTCTTTATTTTTTTTCATGTTTTCATCACATGGCAGTTTTTGTGTTTTTGTCTCCATACAATAAAGTTCTCGTCTCTTTGTCTTCAGACTTTCATATTTTAGATTACTAAATAGTTCATTCATATGAGACGGCCCTAATTGAAAACCATAATATTTTCATAGTAAATTTTAAAATCATCTAAAGATAGCTTAAATTTAGTGTCCATATGAAGTGGAATAATTGCATTACAGTTTGATTCCAAATATCTGAAACTGGTAAATGACATTAAACAATAAAAGATGTTTATTACTTCTTTGAAATATAGGAATATACTAAAATGATGAAGCTATTTTTAGTAACTACATCTTAACTGTGTATTTTGTTTATTTGAGTCTTAGATCAATTTCATGATAATAAATTCACCACTTGAAATAAATTTAATCCTGACTTTTTTGTGGTTTTTAAACCATACCTACTATCAGCAGATAACAGGCAAGAGCTAGTGCCTTTAGGCTTAATGTTATTTGCATTTTATACGAATCATGCTTCAACTGTACTTAGATATACAAAACTTGTTTTATATTTACGGTAAATTTTCATGCTTGTTTTTATAACTATTGTGGCTGAGAAGATCTTAAAGTTTGTTTTGTGTGACTCTTTTTAAATGACATTTGGACACATGACAAAAGCTGCTCGCCACTAATATGCGTTCCCTCACATGACACTAGTACAGGTTAGTTCCAGATTGCGGAAACAAAAGTATAAGCTTTCTTCAAAATCTAGTTTAATGTCAGTACGTAAACAATGTTTAAACTCAAGCTATGAGACTGCCATTTTAGCTCAAAAAAGAGAGAATCTGATTAGTTATCCAGGGGTGCCTGGTTCGATCCTTGGGCTAGACTTTGATGGTTACGGTCATTTGTCTCTCACTGAGGATTCACAAGTCATGTGGGATTAGTAGTTTGTCACTTGCCGATAAATTGGTAATAACTGGGTTAAGTTATCCGTCAAAGTCAGTCAGGTGGATTGATTGCCGAGATATGACCAAAAGACTTAAAATTGGCATAAAATCAGGAAAGGGAACAAACTTAAAAGCTATAAAAATCAAACTGAGTATAAAAACCACTCACGTTTGTGTTTTATATTTACAGTGTCAGTAATACAAAATATATAAACATGTTTAAAGCAAATTAACAAACAGACACAACTTTCACATAGATCTAATTATTGTACATGTATAATATTTACAATGTAGCGATGGGTGCTTAATATACGAGTTAGTAAAAATATATTTCTATATATTCATCAAACCAAGAAAGGGAGACAATATTGCTTTTCTTCCTATCAAAATTATGTGGTATAAGTTGACTACTAAAGTAATTAATTAAAACATGCATTAATCTAATAATGTCTTTCATTATCAACACACACACACACACACACACACACACACACACACACACAAAAAACTGTAGGTTGTCCTAAATTTTGTTTTCAAAGAATAATTGCCGAAAACAGACAAAAAAAACCCCAACAAATTCTGAATATATAAGAACAATCATTAGACAAGGAGTCTAAACGAGAATTATGCACACGATCTTTATAAACCATTGGTGTAAGTGACAATAGAATCAGCTGAAACAAGGAAGATTTTCATGACAATCAGTCGTTTAAAGGGATTTCTTTGTTACATGTGACAATAAACTTGATGGATAAAGATGACACTTTAGTCTTTGATACAAGAAAATGCAAATTTGTCTTTTCATTCCTTATATCACCATGCACTATTAACTTTGGTACTGTAAGAAATTGGTATTTATGGTAAAGTAACTAATGGGTTTATAAAAGAATTTAAAAATAATTAATTCATATGTTACAATAATTAAACTACATTATAAACTTTCTTGCCTTGCTAGGAATTAGCAACTGTCCATTCTTGTTATAAGGGGATTTCAATATCAGTAAGTTGATATTAAGTAGGTTACAGTATTGATTTAGGTGACTATGATTATAGTAAGAGGATATTTTTTCGTTTGCGTGAAATATGGAATATATTTTCACGAAACATGATAAAATGCCACATATTTTCACGAGCCGGTACGGCGAGTGAAAATATGTGGCATTTTATCATGTTGAGTGAAAATATATACCATATTTCACGAAAAACGAAAAAATAACCTTTTTATTTAATTTCATTATCAAAGAAAATGGTAACGAATCCCCTTGCTTGCTACCAACTGCAATTGTACAGCGCGCAGTAATTTATGCGTAAGCACGCGCTGTTTGGCGCTACATTGTGACGTCATGTTAACAACTCTTTAAACGTCTGTACAGCATTAATTACTGAATTAAAGATATTGGTGTTCGGATTAATTTTCTTAGTTAGACCATTTTCTATCATGCTAGATAGTTTTCAAAACAAAATTCAAGAAAAAGTTGTTTTGTATTTATCAGATTTTTCAAACAAAACGGCGAAAGAAGTCCCTGAAAATAAATATGAGTTTTGACTCCGCCCACTTTCATATTTATATTTCATATTTATTTTTAAAAAATATGAAATATATTTGACTGATATAGCACCATATTTCATGGGTAAAATTAAATAATATCATGTATTTTAACTCATATTTCTAGTTGAACTCACTTAAAGGAACTCCACTGAGTTCCAAAAACATAAAACATAAATTTCAAATTTCTAAAATAGATAAGCTGGGGATAACAGAAATACGGTATGTGCAAAGGATAGTTAAGCAATATATTCAGATATTAATTAAAATCACATTTGTTTTGCTATTCTTAGCCTGCTTTAAGCAAAAGGCATTACAACGCTTTTTAATTTTTGGTCAGTTTTCACCATTTGAATAATTATTCTTGAAAAACGGAGTGAGCAAATGATCTGAAATTTTGCACATAGGTTATTGGTCTAGATCTACATGCAATGGAACACTAATCACAAAAAAAGATATTTCCAGTTCTTTGACATATCAAAACACCTCAGCGGAGTCCCTTTAATTCCAATCAAGTGCTTTCTTTATACATGACTGTCTGGTGAATTAGGGAAGTTCTTTACAAAAGTTAATCTGTCACTGCTTTAAGGTGATGAAATATAGATTAAGGCCAGTAACATTCAAAGAAAATGTCAGGGGATAATACATTTTTGTGCATTATGGTAATATATTATAATGTTTCCTTGTACTTTTATGTATACTGTATGTATGAAATCTGGACAATACTAGTCACCTACAAACTTAGAGACAGATCATTGAATTTCAAATTTGTGCAATCCATCCTTACGTCACAATTACTCTATCTCAGGCAGCATTAAAATACTATACAGACATAAAATTTGGAATCAGTCACATTCTGTGTTGGTATCAGTTAACTCTGGTTAGGTTCATTGGTATCAATGAATCACACTCTGGCTTGGTGTATTTGTATTGGTCACATTCTGACTTGGTGTTAGTTACATTCCTGCCTCGGTGCATTGGTATTGGTCATAATATGACTTGGTGCATTGGTACTGATCACACTTTGGATTGGTATCAGCCACATTCTGACTTGGTATCAGGCACCCTGGCTTGATGCATTGGTATGGGTCACACTCTAGCTTGGCATTACCGGATACTACTCATGTAACCTAAGTTCAGACGAAGATCAGCAGGAACAGCCTTGCCATCTGATCATAGTCTTCAATGTTCTCTATTCATGCAGTCAATCATACTACTTTTGAAATTTTCCTTTAAAGTGAGGAATGGGTTTGAAAAGATTAAAAGATGGACTAGTCCAGATTAAAATTCACAAGCCAGTAGTATATATACAGTTCTGTCAGATTGCATGGACAGACTGACTAGGTGTCTGGATCAGTTTGCAAGCCATTCATATTTGTGACTATTGGATCCATAAGAGTTCAATGGGCTATGTGAAAATAACACCATGTCAATTATCTACATTATATCCTCAGTAATTTATGAAAAAAATTAACTATATAATTACGTAATCAAAACAACAGACAACAATACAGTTTTTCATCAAAAATACATTTTAACGAAATAAATTTCTTACTTATAAATCAATCATCTGACTTTGTTAAACATAAAACTTTGAAGCATAATACATTTTAGTGGATAAATAAATAAACATTTTTTGTAAGTCTGTTCGACAGATAAGTTATTTTACATAATAATTTTTACAAAAGTGAACAAAGAAGCTACAATGATGTTATGTTGTTAAGCTAAATTTTAAAATTCTTCCATGCTTTTCCCAAAAGATAACTAGCAGAAATACAACAGTGAAGTGAATAATGAACCAAATTTTTTTTGATTGTGAAGAAGAAATGAGCATGAAGTATCTATTATTTTCACAAGAAAAATTTAATCAAGTTTAAAAACAGCATATCTACAAAATGTTACAAACTTAGATATTACATGTACCCCTATTAAATTAGAACTGTAATAAAATAATAAAAATAGCACCATTATTCTTTGTGCAATTCATAAATGCCAGAATTGTAATCGTCTTAACAAATTTACTTAACAAAGCATCCAATATTCTGACATAACAAAAGCTTTTTTGAATTTTTTTTTTATTTTATATTCCACAGAAGTTTAAAGTCTATTTTTAGAAATATTTAGTCACACATCGTGCTTAAACAGACTGAGAAAAAAATATCTTATCATTAGGGTATGCAGTGTTCACAGAGAATTCTAACAAATCTACCTCTTCCAACAGACCTAACACTTATGTTATAACAATTTAATGGTACGTTACAACATTCTGGAATCTAAAATAGCGACTTTCATCTAAATTACAACCACAGAGCTTCACGGGAGGCGACCAATTCTGATTGGCTAAACCAGAACGTTATAAAGCATGGTGTTCTAAAACTCTTCTCAAAGACATCTTCATTTATGAAAATGTCAGTCATGTTGTGTTAAAGATATAGGGAACGAAGTTTATTCCAATAATGTAATGCTATAATAATAACATGTTACTACAGCACTGGACTTCTTCTGCAGTTTATTGTTAACTTAACAGTATTGCTTAATGATATAGGAATATACTGACTAAAGATTATCCAATAAGAAACAGACAAAAGGAGAAATTACTGTCCAATTTATTGTACGTCTGATTTATTGACATACGTTAACCCTTCAATATTAAGACGCTTACAATCACTTTCTGAAGTCATTGTTGTATTGATAAATTTACAAACTTACTCGGTGATAAATAAGTTTTGATATTTTACATTTGTGACCACAAGTTCTTGGATATTTGGGGAAAAGTTATTCTGTTCAAGGTAAGTACTTTTTGTTTCACTGAATTCTTCTCAAGTTGGTCATTTTTAATATGAATAACATTATAAGTGGCCGACGAAAGACTTAAATTTCAATTATCTAACAGAACATACAGTCTTACACTTCTAAACTGCTACTGCTAGATAATTTTTTTTCTTTTTATTTCATATAACATCCAATACTTTTAATTTATCAAAACTAGAATAATTAATTATTTATCATAGAGTATTAATCAGCAGCAAGGTAAAAGTGCAAAGAATGTTTTTTGTGTTGTTTTTTTTTTTCACTCCATGACAGTTTACAAGTGTTTATCAGTACAAATTACAATCTTTTGTTTTTTTAGCATTGTCTTAATTATTTTCAAATTGAATATTTTCTGGAATTTATTCAAACTTTAAATCTCCTGGGATTATATGGGACTTTTTTTTATAACAAATAAGAACAAATTGGATCACACAATGTAATTTACTAGTTAACATTAAGCTTCATTTTTTTACCCAAGTCTTATAAATGTTCTGCTTTGTTTAATTTAAAATTACAATTTATTTAATCAGTGGTCCGATAAAAACCCTTGATATTTCATTAAAACCAGAGTAATTTTCTCGGATTATTTCTCATGGTTCTTCAAGTGTATCATCAGGCAACAATTTGTAAATGTAATGTTTTCTGGATTAATTCTAATACAGAGAAATGTTATAAAGCAAGTTTACAGGAGCATCTGTGTCCAGTTGAGTAAACAAATCAAACTTTAGAACAAATATATCCAAAGCTTGAAGCTTTCTACACTAAAATTGATATCTTATATGGACTAACTCTTGTCCATTTTGCAATTTCATACAAAGGGCTGCGTTTCATAGAAAGTCCTAAGTCTGAAATTGTCAAGACAATTTTGCATTTGAAAGAAAAAGTCTTTACTTATGACCCCTATTTATGACTCTAAATTTCTGAATAGCAATACAGATGGGCAATAACACATTGGCATAAAAGGGTCTGTTATAGTATTTCTTAACTTTTCTTAGGAGAATGAATTTGATTATAGCCTCTTTCACTGAAGGTAGAAACATTTATTAAAATGGTATTAAGTTAGTCCTCAAGTTGGTTTTATGTTGTATGATAGAGAATACACTTTAGCCTTTCTATGCAATGCAGCACTGGCATTAATTTTGTTGGGAAAATTTAAAAATAAATTAGATATGCTTACTGAAAAATGAACAGTGCAGACCATTATCAGATTAGACGAGGCACAAATGTGCCGGTTGATCTTGGCAGGGATCTGCACAGTGGTTGTATGGGTAGAACCAATGGTTGCAGACTAAGGGTTAAGAATTGTATGATTATTCACGATCAAGGTTAAAATAATAAATGTAATACAGAAAATACCACATAAATTACTTGTTTTATCACCAAAATATACCACATTACTATATAATGGAGTAAGAGAACTTTGCTTATTTTGACTACTAAATTTTGGACAGCCTGAGTGCCTTAATTTATACATCTCTTAATTTATACATGTATTCTTGTCAATATCTGCACTCATACGAGCAAAATTTTTCTGTATATATAAAAAAGAATACATATCAGGATTTATAACTAAAAAGAAATACAGATTTTATTAAAAAATTTCAAAAGTATGCTCGTACATTATTGTATAGATCAATTATATTTAATAAAATAAATATATTGCAACATTATTTTTTTTGTTTTCTTTAAACAATAAACTTCTATCAATAAAATAAAAGTTGATGTTTCACTGGTGACAGTAAGTACAGGTTTATACATCTATTCCAATAAACATGACATAAACATCATTAATTAACATGCGCTAACACTCAGTACTAACGAGTTTATCAATAATTATACTTAGGTTACCTTGGTCTTTTTAAAATGTTAGTTAAATATTGAAGTTATAAAAAAAGTGGGACAGTTTTTTTTTAAACATTTTTGGAAGTTTTTATATTTTAACCGTAACATTTATACTTATCAATTGTTGTTCAATCACCATTAGAAATTTCTATCTTTTAAAATATTCATCTAACATATCTTAGCTCGACACTGAAAAACTGAGCATGTCACTATAAGTATTGTAATGAACTTCAACAACTTAAGAGTCAGGTTTTGTAACTATTTAAAATGAAACTGACTGATATATTAAAGCTCCAACCAACAAATTTATTTCTTAAGAATGCATACATTTACTTGCTGTTACCAAGTAACCCTCATCTAAACTGTTGTCACAGAGGCCTCTATCACACTAGCCATTACTATTTTAGCTCTAAAAGGAAAAAAAACGCTCCAGTGTATTATAAAAAGACCATTTGAGAAGGCGAAATTATCTACTTTTCTAGCCATTTGTTATCCAAAACAAACTGCAACATACCAGTTGAATAAAGAAAAAAAACTATTTGTTATAATAAACAAATATAATTATCACAAATAGATATTTCAAGATTCTGACTTTTTTTAAAAAACAATGTATAATTATGATAAGTAGGTTAACACCAAAATCTAACTCGTAAACAACACATTTTTAATGCTCATATCAACATGAACTTGCTTTCAATGGAAGATGTCTGAAAATTGAAAAATTCTATCCTGACGCCTAATGAACTTATAAACGAGACTTCTGTGCGACAAACATATTAGCAAAATCTTATATTCTCTAAGAAAGCAATTACCGTATAAATGCATATCAATATGTCTGAAAATAGAGCAGATTTTGACAGTTTATGTCAGTGCTTCTGTCATAATTCTTTTAATATTCTGTAAATATTTTGATAGAACTGGTTACCTAATTGTAAAACTTAACACAACAGTATAAATATCAGAAATATAATGCAATGACTGCTGTTTTTTTGGGTTTTTTTTACAATTATTCACTCTTTATATACCTCATGTTGGTATCATGTATGATGCACTGAGGGAAATAAAGAATTTGAATTTGACTGTTTTTTTTGTTTAACATTGCATGTTAAAATTTGCTAATGCTGCGGTGCTTCGGGATTTGCAACCATTGAAAAATCTGGTGACATAAAACCAACCCTTTCCTTTTTTGCTATGCCAAACAGCATTTCATCGTTTAAGTCTGCCATATTAATGCTATTATTTACAGTTTTGATAATCAGACTATATGTTACACAATTTTGTTGATAACTCGCATGTTTAAAGGGGATCAACCACCACCCCCAATGATTCCACATCTTCTAGCATTGACTTAAGCAAATATTAACATGCAATGTTTAAGGAAAAAACAGATGTAGCACATTAGCATGTCACAAACCGTTTCATTCTCTTTTATTATTAAAATTAATTAAAAGAAGTTCAAAGATTTTTCAAATTTGACCATCAAAAACCATATCATTATTTTTGTATTATCAAAATAAACTAAAAGAACTTCAAAGATCCTTAAATTTAACCAGAGTGTGATTATTTAATTGCATATAAAAGAGAGAAAATTTTAATTTCAATATCAGTATAAAGAATATTAAACCATGCCAGAAATTATGTGTAAAACATAACATTTCAACTTATCTACATAGATATATATATAGCAAACAGGCATAAAAACTTTTTATGACTATACATCACTGAGTTATATCACAGATTTTAATCTTTATGATCATCTAGACAAAGATTCTGAACAAAATCAACTGTGTACACTGCTCACAGATCTTTGAAAATCCTGTAAATAATACTTAGATGTAACAATGAGTAGAAACAAAGTCTTCAGTATATTTATCATCCAATAATTTCAACTTGTTGTTTTTTCAATGCAACATGATAATTTTATTTCAAAATCTTCAAAAAAGACATCAATGCATTACATGATTATTTCATATTATTCAAAACTCCAAACAAGTCATCAATGAAACATGATTATTTCATATTATTCAAAACAATGGTTGCTTTTTATCATTTAAAATCTCCAAAGAAGACCAATGAAACATAATTATTTTGTATTATTTAAAACCATCAAACAAGTCAACATCAATGTAACAATTATTGATTACTTCATATTTATTATAATCTCCAAACAAGACATCTGCAATGTAACATGATTATTTCATATTATACAACATAACCAATTTTTCTTTACTTATTTTTTTTTTTGGTTACTCATAATTTTACCACAGACACTGCTTGTTCCAATGAATTAATGAAACAATATGTTCTAAGTAATATTTCTAAGAATCATAACCTATAATATCCCTTGTTTTCAATGTAAAATAACAATTTGATTTTTCTTAAAATCTTATAACATAACATTGCTTAATTTTCAATGTAAGATTACAATTTCCAAGAAATGTCATCAAGTCTTGTTTGATAATGCCTTCATTAGGTGCTTCCAATATTAGTTTGCTACTATATGGATTATGACAACTTGCGTTGACAGTTTTATACTTAAACTGCCCGATGCTAGGTTTTTCCATTTTTCCATTAAAACATCATTAATTAACCAACTAGAATCTTTCAAATTTCAAAGCAAAACAAGTTACTTGTAATAAAATTAATGCTAATTCAATGGGCGTATAAATGTTACAAAAATTCTTCTATTTGTACAACATTCAAATTCATCAGCACAGACATTCCTGTGTGACATCATTGCAAAACAGACTTGCACTTTGCTCAAGTGGAATATTCAAATTAAGGTAATTATATAACATGTACAGCATTATACCTTCAATAAACTCCACACTACAGAATATTGAAATTCATCATCATTAGCTATGCAAGAGTTACATAATATTGCATTAAACAGACTTATTTTGTCAATTAAGTTATGATTACTTTACACAAAACTTGAACAGCATAAAAAGAATATCATAGTACAGTAATTTAAGGAAATGCCAGTATTAGAGCAATGCTTTGTTATTCTATGAACCTTAACTTACTGAATTTTTTAACGGACATGTCCAGATGCTATTTAAGGAACAGTCCATTATTAATTTTGGAGAATTCAAGATGAAAATTTAAAGTTTGTCAGTCAACTGCACAAATAAAC